TAATACAAAACTGAATTAGTATATTGTAAAATTATAATATGTCTTTAGAGTATATTGACTAATTTTTTAAAAGTTCGTAAGTTATAAAATTTTTGTCTGGGATTAGCTAATACTCTATCCGGGATATTATCGACATTTTTTCTGGGGTATCTTAACAACTAATCAAAACGAACTTCTGCTATGCTAAAGAGCCCATGATTATTATTTATTAGTGATTGGCGTCGTAATCATGTGATGCTAATTGTCACGTGGTACAATATATAAAAATCAACAATTAGATTATTGATTTTTATATATTTTACCATGTAACAATTAGCATCACATGATTACGATGCCAATCACTATTATTTATATTAAAAATCTAGCATCGATTACGATTTTAGTCGATCAACTAAGCCACTTTGACTGACTAACATCGACTATGGCTATAGCCGCCGGCTAAGCAACTAAGCCATAACCAAACCTATCCCTAGGCACAAAGCACTAGTGCCTGGCCTAGTGCCAATATGCTGGGCATGGGTGCCCATGCATATACCAAATTTTTGTGCCAATGCCTATGTCCATGCCAAATTTTTATGCCCATGCCCATGCCCGTGCCAAATTTTTGTGCCCATGTCTATGCTCATGCCAAATTTTTGTGCTCATGCCCATGCCAAATTTTTGTGGCCCATGAAAATCCCTATACCCATGTCTATGCCCATGCCTAAGTCTTTGTGCCCAGGCCTGAAATTTTGTTGGGCATGGGCATGAGCCCGGTTTGCAGACCCCTAGTTCTAATATATATATTCATTCAATTAAGAAAATTTTATTCATTTTTCTATTTATAAAGTATATGTAATCCTACATAGTAAAATACTATTTAAAAAAATTTTATTTGCGAATTATGTTCTAAAATCCCTAATAGAAGTATCTAAGCTATTTGTCTTTATTTATTTATTTATTTTGTATTAATTTAGCTTATATATAATTTCCATGACCATATTTATTCGCACTGATTTAATCTGAATACAATGATAATTTATCATATTAAATACTAAATGATTTAATTTTGCTTATTCCCAAATATGTTATTCATTTCACATTTAATTTTTTATTTGCATTTTTTTATTTGTGAGTATAATAATTATTAAAGTACTTAAATTTTTCTTATTCGTATTGATTTATGAGCTAAATTACACATATTTTTATTTATTAAAAGTAGAAACCCAAGATGATACTTTGAGTTGTGTTTATTTAGAAGTTTGTCTTTATTGGATATCATTAATCTACCAAGCCTAATTTACAATATACTCTGAAAATCTTTGAGAAATATATTCCCAAGTCTTACTTGTGCTCTATTCTAGAGCAGTGTTAGAAATTTATTTTGAAATTTATGTTCTTATGAGAGTATATTTATTTGATTTAGTGTTCTCAGAAATTTATTTATGTTCTTAATATTTCATTAGTAAAATTTATTTATATCACTGTTTTTTAAATTTTTTATTTTGAAAAATATCAGACATGTTTTCTAATTTTTGTTCCAACCCTTCTTTTACGTTCATTTATTTCTTTTTGGATAATTTTAAAATTTCTCTTGATTCTAATTTTATTTCCATCTCTATTAGAGGTTGGAACCAGATTCCAAATTGCTTATCCAGATATTCATTTTTTTTTTATAAAAATTTATTTAATAATTAATATAAATACTACAGCATTTTAGTAGAAATCTTTGATACTTTCTTAATTAATATAGAGCCAAATTCTTCTTTGCCAGTTTTTTAATCTGTCAAATAGAATCTGTTCAATCATATCATCATATTTATTAGTTTAATTTGAAATCTTTTAATACGATTATTGATATTCTTATTTCTACTTGTTTATTCTTAGATTGTTATTTATCATTAACATCATATTTAATACATGTACATTTTTCATCTTTTAATTAAATTTGTTTTAGTTATTTTATATACCATATTTGTATAATTTGTAAATTGAAACAAATAAGTTTATATTTACCAAACATTAACATAAAAAAAATGAAATTGAATTAGTCTTTTCAATTACTTTTAGAAACTTTCATTTGATATCTCTATTTATGAATAACTTAACTATGCAGAATATATCATAATATAATTGATATAATTAGATAATTTTTATTTTTAAAAATAAATATTTAATATTCGCTTTAGAAACTTTTAAAATTTTTCGTTTCAATATCTATATATTTAACAAGACATAACTAAAAAACTATAAATAAATATACCATAACTAATACATATGTTCAAGATTCTAAAAGGAGTGAACCTGCATATATTCGTTTTAAAATTAAACAAATATATGACAAGATTATAAAATTTAAAAGATTTTGTTTTAAATAGTAATATCGTAAAAATAGTAATAACAAGAACTAGAGAAAGTAGAAAATTAAAGTATGTAATACAAACATATATCGGTTAGATTAATATGTATTGATATGCAGAGTTTATTTCAATGTCATATTAAATATGTAATAGATAAACATTATATATTAGTAAGCTATACCAATACTGCATTTTTCACTTACAAAGAAATTATGTATTTTATACTGTATAAAGATATCAGTTATAGGTTTTAAATAAGTATTTTCTTATTTATTAACTATACCCTATAGCTATAATATATACGTTAATATTAAATATAATATACAAAAACAAAAATTTAATAAAATATTCTATTTACCTTATTATCAAATAACAAACAATAAATTCTATGAAACATGTTTGCAATACTTATATAATGCTTATATTAATAAGAAAGTTTTAAATAATAGAAAAAAGCAATTAAATCTATTTTAATAATACATTATAACTATATTGAAACAATTAAACTATACGATATTTAAATAAATAGAGTATAAATATAAGTAAAAAATACATAACTAAAGAATGATTTAATCAAGTTTACACTATACTTTTATAAAATCATTACTTATTGCAAATAGATTTATCTCAAGATAACGAAAATAATGATTACTTACCTCAATCAATTAGTTATACCAATGAAAGTGAAGAGAATAACTTAGAACTTATACATACTGATAACAATTATTCGAATATGGAATTAGAAATCTTAGCTAAAAGACAAAATGATAATAGCTTTAATGAAACTGATAAAAGTGAAAGTGGGATGAATGAGTCTGAAATTGCTAATAGTACTTTACACAAAAAATGAAATAATACTAGTTGGGTATGAGATAATTTTGATAAAGAACCACCAACTAAAGAGTGGAAAAAAATAGGTAGATGTAAAGTTTTAGTTCCTGGCAATAAAGAAGCTAAAAGTAAACATAAATGTAGAGTTCTAGTTCATACTCAAGAATCAACAACAAATTTTGCAAGCCATTTACTTACACATGGACTTGTAAAACCAAAATTGCTACAAAAAAAAATAACTCACAATCTAAAATTAATATAATTTTTAGAAAAACTACAACCAATACTACAAATCGAAAAGAAGCTATTCATCAAGCATTAGTAGAATTTATAATAGAGGATTCTCAACTATTTTATTTACTTAAAAGTCATGCTTTTATTAAATTAATAAATTTATTAGATCCAGTTTATGAATTACTATTAGACAAATATATTAAAACCTTAATTCATCAAGCATTTTTTTATTCTACTAATGAATTAAAAACATTGTTCAATAATGAACTTATTTCATGTAATTTAACTTGTGATCTTTGGATAGCTCGATCTTGAAGTAGTTATTTTGATATAACTTGTTATTTTATTAATTCAGAGTTTAAGTTACTTTAGCTATGTATTATGTTCCTTATTATCATGATTCTGAAACAATTGCAATGGTTTTAGAAGAAGTTATTAATGATTGGGAGTTAAGCAATAAAGTTAATCATATAACTTGTAATAACGCAGCTAACATGATTAAAGCTATTAATATTGTAGAAAATATAAATAGAATTCCTTGTGCTGCTCATACTCTCCAATTAGCAATTGGAAAAGGGCTTAAACCTGCTGAGGTATTAGTTATTCATACTAAAAGATTGATTAACTTTTTGCTATCACCAAAGCAAATAGAATGTTTAATAGAAGCTCAAAAAGTATTTCAAATAACTGAAGATAAAATTAATAAACAAAAAGAAACTTATCTTCGAGCAATTGCAGATATTTCTACTAGATGGAACTCTTTATATATATCCTAGAAACAATTATTATTATTATTTTTTTTAATATTTGGGGTGTAGCTCCTGCCCCAGACTTTTATTAATACTTAAGTAAATTGACATATGATGGTG